TAAAATATCGTTTATTAGAAAAATCAGAAAACTTATTGACGAAAACCAGTCAAACTGGGATGAGTATCTTGACATCTAGTTATAATTTATTTTTTAGAAGAGGCAGATAATCATATAAAAAGCTCGGTAGTTAAAGACAGTGAAGATATTGAATGATAAATTATCTTTATATTTTGTTAGTGTTAGCTTTTTATTGTAATGTATGGTTTTTTTCTAGAGGTGGCAAGTATTGCATGTTTTTTAGAGAAGACAGAAACAAAAAAAAACTTTTCAGTTAAAGACAGTAAAGGTATGTATTAAAAACTTACCTATTTATTTTTAATCGTTAGCGTTTTATTTTCATTTGTTTTTATTTATTTAATTTTCTAGAGATAGTAAATATAAGAAAAAGCTGCATAGTTGAAGATACAGAAGGTATGTATTATTCATTGGTGCACCAGTAAAATAAAGATTTTTATGTAAACCTATTTAAATAATTAATTTAAACATTATCTCACCTGGTGAAAAAATAGGTGTAGAAATTTAAAACATGAAATCTTTAATAAATGTAATAGTCATTATTGTAGCAGATGAAAGGCTTATGCTTAAATTTTAATGAAATTATGCTTAAATTGCGTTTCATAAATAAGTCACGGAGTAATAAAATGTCTCTGTATTATAAACCCGATAAAAGTCATTATGGGTATATATCCAGAATAAGGTGGCTATAAGGTATACGATTATTCCTTACAAGATACTTTAAACGAATGCCTCAGTGACGAAGTTGTTTATATTTATCTCAAAATATTAGTAAACAGTAAAGAAAAGGTATAATTAATTAACGTACTTCTTAATAACATTTTTTTACAAAAAAACAATTATAATTCAAAATATAAAACAATAAACATAATAAATTTTTGTACAACAAAACAATTTTAATTCTAAATATAAAACAATATATTAAATGCCATTCCATTTATTTAACATTGAAGTATTTAACATTGAAGTAATGTAAACATTTTCAGTGCTCTAAAGAATCTCACAAACCTCCTTTATCTAATAGAAGCTGTACTACTCTCTTTCTGTATGCATTCACTTCTTCATGTGGAAAGACACGCACCAATTTTTCTCCATTTATATAACTTTCAACAAACTAAAATATTCAAGCTCATCTATATATATATATATATATATATATATATATATATATATATATATATATATATATTATATATATATATATATATATATATATATATATATATATATATATATATATATATATATATATATATATATATATATATATATATATATATATATATATATATATATATTTATATATATATATATATATATATATATATATATACATATATATATATATATATATATATATATATATATATATATATATATATATATATATATATATATATATATACATATATATACATATATATATATATACATATATATATATATATATATATATATATATATATATATATATATATATATATATATATATTCATATATATATATATATATATATATATATATATATATATATATATATATATATATATATATATATATATATATATATATATATATATATATATATATATATATATATATATATATATATGTATATATATATATATATATATATATATATATATATATATAGATGAGCTTGAATATTTTAGTTTGTTGAAAGTTATATAAATGGAGAAGAATTGGTGCATGTCTTTCCACATGAAGAAGTGAATGCATACAGAAAGAGAGTAGTACAGCTTCTATTAGATAAAGGAGGTTTGTGAGATTCTTTAGAGCACTGAAAATGTTTACATTACTTCAATGTTAAATGATATCTTAAAATAATGACAACAAAAAATGATGCCAAATTAAATCATTAGGTCAGAGAAGTCGGCAGAATAGTTTGTGTCGAATTTGTAAAAGTGAAATTGGTCAAAAAACTAGAAAAAATCAAAAAAAAGATAAATGGGTAATAAAATATATTTTAATTATTTTTTAATAAAAATTTCAAATAGAAAAAAATACTTTAAATATTCAAATAGAAAAATGTACATTAAATATTTATTATTAGATAAAATGTGATATTTGCATTCCAAATCAATGGAATCATATGGGATGCATTGTTTTTAGAAAAAAACTTTATTTTGTTGTGAAAATATTTATATATAAATGTAATAATAAGTGAAACTTTACAAATTGCAGTTATTCTTTTTTAATCAAAAACTTTTCGTAAACTGAACCAATTTAAATGTTTATGCACTAAGAGATAAAAACACAAATAGGTGAATTTTTTTTTCTTAGTTTCAATGACTTCTTGTATAGTTATAATACTTTAACTTCGAAAGCCATACATATGAATTGATTAAACAATAATACATTTTTAATTTGTTAGCTCATTTAAATCTAAAAAAAAATGAAAAAATTTGAGTAATCTTTGCATATTTTGCAAATAATAGCTAAAATTCTAAAATAAAATATCAAATCTCCTTATACAGGCTTTTAAATTATTCCCCAAAATAATTGTATTTTCTCATTGAAGTAACACCCCCCCTCCCAGTGTAAGTTCTATATATATCACATAAAAGAAGCAATAAACTAACTTAAAATATCACATCCCCCCTATGTTTACTTCAAAAATATTACATCTCCTAAATAATTCATAAAATATTTTAACCTCTATGTTTACCTTTAAAATATTACATCCCCCTTAGTGTTTCATGCAATATTATAAGGAATAAGTTTAAAATATTATATGAAACTGAAATTCTTACTTAAAATATCACATCACCCCGATGTATAATTCTAAAACTTTACATCCTCCTAAGTAATTCTTTACAAAATTTCAATCGATTAGTATTTGGTATCTAGAATATCACATCCCCTCGATTTATTTACTATATGTCACAAAAAGTAACTGAAATTCTTACTTAAAATATCATATCCACTTTATGTTTACCTTTAAATTATTACATACCCCTAAGTAATTCATACAATATTTCAAACGATTATTATTTGGTATTTAAAATATCACATCCCCCTATGTATACTTCTAAAATATTACATCCCCCTAAGTAAGTCATACAATACTTTATTCGATTAGTATTTGGTATCTAGAATATCACATCCTCTCAGTTTATTCACTGTATATGTCACAAAAAGTAACTAAAATTCTCACTTAAAATATCACATTTCCCCTATGTATACTTCAAAAATATTACATCCCCCTAAGCAGTTTATAAAGTATTTCAAACGATTAGTATTTGGTATCTAGTATATAACATCCACCACATGTTATTTCTGTATATATCACAAAAAGAAACTGGAATTCTTACTTAAAATATCACATCCCTCTTATGCAGGCTTCGGAAAACATTACAAACGATTGTTATTTTTATTACCTGAAGTATTATATCCCTTATGTGTAACCTTTTTTTTAGCGTTGTCGCGCAATACATTACGATCAAAATTTTATAAATATGAATTTAAAATATATTACCATTTTATGCTAACTTCATTTATAGTATGTTAGTAGAAAAACGTTTTTATGAATCTCGTTGCGTTTTTATTATACTGTTTATAATTAAATGTTTCTTAAGTACTTCATACATTTCTAAGTGCAATGACTCGAAAGCGCAATCTCGTTTTCGTTTTTTCTATGAGGGATGTGATATTTTAGGCGGATGTAATATTTTATCACAAATGCCAGAACTCTGGCGAATAGTCGTAAGCCACTACGAAGGTATTTGATTTCGGGCCAGCACTGGCTCGATTGCGGTGGATACAGAGTTCTGGCCGAATGTCGTTTTGCAATAATTGCCATTATTTAAATATTTTTTCGTTATCCATGATGGTACTATAAAAGTAAAACTAAACGTTTACAAGATATATTTTGTTATTACAACTAAATGTTATTATATTTTAGTTTGTATAAATGTTTGTATAAATATTTGGTTATTAATAATAACAAAGTTTAATAATATTATACTTTGGTTTGTATAAATGTTACGCTGATATCATATCAGCATAACTTTTTTAGCAAAAGATATGCAAAAGATGCTTATTTAGTAAAAAAATACAGTTGGTAATAAAGCCATATATATCTAACTTTATACATCTAACTTTATAAAAAAACATTCATTTTTTACGTAAAAAATGAAAGTTTTTTTAAAAGGTTAGGTATATCTAACTTTAACAAACACTTTTTTATTTATTATATTATCTAAAAAAAATCTCAAGAATTGCAGTTTCATCGACTAAATAAAAAATTTTAATATATACATATATATATATATATATATATATATATATATATATATATATATATATATATATATATAGTATATATATATATATATATATATATATATATATATATATATATATATATATATATATATATATATACCCTAGATGCGCATTAAGGCAACAGTAAAAAATTAACTACCATAAGGCGACTCATAGAAATTTTTAACTTTAAAAAAAAAAAAAAGGCGCAACAGATTCGCTAGAGATTAATGATGATTAATCAGTTACTTGTTCGAGAATTCAATATTTACTGAAAAAGTTATACGATTTATATAAATTTGCTGTCACCTTAACGTTTTTTGTATATTTTTAAGTCGCCTAAAGGAAAAAAAACCCTAGATTAACTGTGACAGATTTTTGTTTAGATGTAAACTTTTTTTTATAAAGATTAAGTTAACAAATATTTATTTACCTCGTTTATCGTTTATATTCGGAGCATATTTCAAAATAATAACAATTTTCTTTTTTATTAATTTATGAAGTTTTAATACATTATTATAAAAAAAACAAAGCTTAAAAACAATAACAGTTTAAAATACTCAGGGTTTAAACTGACGCAAGTATGCACCATATTACAGTTTTAACACAAATTTTATTAGAAAAAGCTAGTTACCTATTTTTAGGAAAACGTTTATACTATTTATACTATACTTATATGCTAAAATAACGTGTGGTAATCTACAGATTTAATGATATTAAATGACATTTGATTGTTTGGTAGCAGGCTTCTTTTTGTCAAATCAGCCCGCAAAGGGCATAAAAGCAACCTAGTAGCACTCGTCAATTCCCATAAATGCAACTGTCTTCTTCCGAAAATTCTGTTTTATTCTTCGAGTATTAACAATTCTAGTTCTGATTTGTTCGAGGTTTAAACAAAATTTTTCTGCAAATACTTCCATTTCTTTACGGCCTAAAAAAAGAAAACAATAAAATTATTAATTTTTGAAAAAAATAGTAATGAACGATATCTCAACAAGTGAATCTAATTTTTTCATAGCCAAATTACAGGCCTTTTTAACATATAAACAGTTAAAATTTTAAAGATTTTACTGTTTATGCATAAACTTTTCTATAAATATGTTTTTGAAAATAACACTAACACGTTAAAAAGAACAGCGTAACTAGTTTTTTTATGGTTTAATGTGTACACTTGTATTGGGCGTAAACTGAAAACCGCATTAAAAGCAAATAAAAAGACTTCATAATAGTAAAACTGATGAAATTCCTGGATATCAACGATTATTTTTAAGGTGAAAGGCAAATTCTTTGTTAAACGCAACTTTACTAGACTTATTCCATGACTTTTTTTCAACTGTTAAACTTTTCTTTTCATTGATCACCTTTTCTGAATAAAATTAGTAAAGACATTTTCAACACTTCGTTTCCTTGATATAATAAGCAATAATAATTATCTTAGTAAATAATAAGCAAAAAGGCAAAAATTCATATATTTAAGGGGAAAAGACATGAATATTTAGAAGTGATGGAAAAGGGAAAAAGGACATTAATATTTAAAAGTGAATATATAGAGGTTCGAAGTAAAAATATACAAATACTTATGTACGTCAAAAATTATTGACAATTACAATAGCATATGCAGTTTCAAAACTATCAATTTATTTATGACAGTTAATCTAATTATTTACTATCAAAAAAGTTAAAATGCCATTGTTGTTTAAAAGAATTATAATATTTAAATTGAATTAAAAAAAATTAAACTCTTTAAAATGAATTAAAAACGTTTAAAATGTTTGAGAAAGCCTTTGACTAGTGTTTGCCAGTGGGCTCCATAAGTGGGTCCATAAATTACGTCACGCCATTTTCGACGGTTTTTAACCCCCTCCTTTCCATGTCACAATACCGTGACACTTGAGTAACAAGTTACGTATTAGTCATCACAAAGCCATTAACCCTCTCTTAGAGCGTGACGTCAATACATAGTGGGACGAACTCAGTGTAATGATTTACCAAATCTTGTCAGTATTGGCTTCAACAAGCGTCCTTAAGTTTAATTTGGGATATTTTTATTTTCTTTAAACATAGTTCAAGGTTGAAATAAAAAAGTATTATTTTAATTCCAATGATTTTATCTACCCTACTTTAAAATAGGAAATACCAACTTAATAAATGCATTTTAAAAAGGTAAAAAACACAATATAAGCAATTAAACCTTTTTCAAGTTTTAGCACTTGCTTTATCTTTATTTCACCATCCACTTTACTATCATTTCCAGATATCTTTGTAAAATCAACTAAATAGAAATTATGAACACCTTTCAGAAACAAATTATACAATTCAAAAAAATGAAATTAAAAAACATAAAAGAGGACAGTATTGGCAATCAGTATTTAACCTGAGATTATAATAATAATAAAATTATGGCATATCAAATGTACTCAAAATGGCTTTAGCATAAACAAAACAAAACTAAAAACTTATTATTTAGTAAAAACATCAAAAACAATTTTTTAACCTTTTAAACATGTTAAAACAATGTTATTTGGGAGCTATTTTACTTCATACAATATTTATTAAGGCTAAATTTATTTTGTGATTTCAAACTCTAATTTTTTAACTTGTTTTGCAAACAAACTTTTCTAGCTTTAAATTTCCATTAAAATTTAAATATAAATTAAAAATACAGGTTACTATCACTTTACTTAATTTAGAAAACATATTTAATATTAAACTTTGAAGCTTGAACTAAGCTTGTGGTAGCTCAAGCATCATATAAATTTTTTTTTATTATTAGGAAATGAAGAAATTATATAACTTTTAGCATTCCTAACCTTCATGGAAAGATCTTTTAGGATACTTTTTTCTTCCAGTTTCACTTTCTATAACTATAAACAAAATGATAACAATATAAAAAAATAATAATTAAAAACTTTACCTTAAAGAATACAAAAAAAGTAAACAAATAAAAAATCAGTTAAACCTTTTTTTAAATCAAGGACTGGCCTTATTTTTAAACCACTATTCAGTTTATTATCATTTTTGGTTATCAACTCAACTAATAAGTTAAAGAAAAAGAAAAAAAAGAAAAGTATAAATCAATTAAAAAGTAATCTTATATTAAATTTAACTTTAAAAAAGCAATCAACATTACTCACCGTCAGTTAGTATTACATGTTCTCCTATAGTGCTATAGTCTTGTTCAGCTGAATTAGAAATAATTGACTTGAATGGAGTTAGATTAACCTTGGTCACTTCTTGAATATCTCTTAGTCTTTTGCCTGTTGTTTCTATTTGTAAGGATCCAGGAGCAGCTTGGTAAAAATTTTGATTGATTCTTTCTGAATGTCCAAAGTGATTATAAATTAAAGTTTTTTCCTTTTCTGATAGCTCCAGCTTTGCCAAGATTGTACCAATACAATGTCGATTCTGGGTGGCATTAATTGCACCTTTTTTATCTAAACGAATAAATATTTTGTTTATGCAATGCCAACTACAAGCATGGCTCATGCTTTTTTGGGTACTGGCAAAAATATATTGGTTTTCATCAGGAATTCCAGCATTTTTCCTAACTTCTTTGTTTGTCAGATATCGCATTGCTTTTATGCATTCTGGTGGAAAAAGAACAGGAATTGTGTGATTCGAACCTTTTCCTGTTTGATAAGTGATAAACATTTGCTCAATATCAAATTCTTCAGGCAGATCTTGTTTATTTAAAGCCTCATTCCACTGAAATAAGTGTAACCACACTGGTTCTTCATTATTGTCTGGCATTAAATATAGTCAAACATGTGGCAGTTGCAGATCGGATAGTGACAAATGATTCACGTGGATGTTGAAAATCATCACTAGAATTCATAATTTTGTTACTTTCCTCAATAAGCAGTTAAACATCTGCTTCATTTGGGAGACTAATTGGTTTCCGCAAATCAATATTCTTACAATAATTTAGATTATAATAAGCATCACCAAATAAATCATCCTCATAAAGCTTTAAAACCTTTAAAAAGTCAACTACTCTCTGAGATTTCAAATCATCATTTTTGACCAAAAAGTAACCATTGAAAAATTTTCTTCATTTGATTTTTCTGATAAAGAATTAATAGCTTCTCCATTGATTACTTCTCGACAGTACATGTCAGCTGCATTATTTAAGATGTTATCTAGTTTAACAGCTTTCTGATTGTTATAGATACTTTTAAAAGATAAGTATAATCTTGCAGTTAACCTCATTCGTGAACGAACCAATCTTTTAGTCTCTGAAACTTTATCTTTCTTTCTTTTAAGAGCACTATAAGATCTGAATAATCATTAAAATGATTTTGTCCGTTTTAATATAATTTCCAATATCATCCAGTTGTAATGTGTTTAGAAGGTTGACAAAATCATTTGAATAATTTTCATAATCTTCACTTGCTTTAGAAACCATAGGTATCATTAGATTGGTATTTGTACCTTGGTAAACAAGTTAGTGACAAGCTTTATATTTTCTTGAATAAAAACCTTTACACCCACAACACATAAGAGGGAGTTCATTATTTTGTATTTTAGACTTTCTTTCTCTAATAAAACATGTTTGACCTGATTCCACCAGTGAAACATTGTAATTTCTAATAGCTTCCTTTCGAAATATTTCTATTTAACGATTCTGATCTTCAGAGTTCATATTTAAAAGAATAATAACGAAATTTCAGTACCATGCTTTAAAAGAATATGGCGTTTTAACCGAGTCTGAGGAACTTTGCAAAATAAACAAAGTCGTGCTGGTTTTGTGTACTTGTTGGTTTATGGTTTTGAGGCATCAACCTCAATTTTGCCACATGTTTTAATTAGATTCAAACATTTTTTTGCAATTTTACCAAAATCATCACATGTTGAATTAAGGTCTTCTTTAGGAACATCACTCTTGGAAGCTTCTGAAAAAGTTTTTACTTCTTCCCAAGAAGCACATCTTTCAATTATAGGAGTTGTAATTAAACTAGGAAGTACAGCAATAAACTCTGTTTCTTTGTTTGGTGATAAATACACTTGTTTTCTTTTTTAAAAATAAGATCACATTTTGTAAACTTGATTCAGTAATATTATCAATAGTGGAATGATATTGATATTCAATTTCTGAGTCAAAATCATCAAACAATGGCTTTTCCAATAAAACTTTCAAAATATCTAATTTCTAAACAACAAATTAACTGAACAGTTAACATAAAAACTTAATCAAACAGGAAAAGCACTTTAAAATCTTTAAATTATTAACAAATGTTAGTAACATTTCGAAAATTACTAACATTAACCAGTACTTAAGTACTGGTAAATGTAAGTAATTTTTGAAATGTTACTAACATTTAGCAATAAATATATATTTCAAAACATACAATAAGTGCCCATAACTTATCTGATATTTAAATAAATGAAATTTAAATAAATGAAAACAAAAAACTGTCATATCATTCATTTTACGATTTCACACACTCCCTTTTTCCTCTTTTTACTTTTGTAAAACCTCAAAACCTTATAAATAATTTTTTAATATTTTAGGTAAAAGTAACAGAGCAAAACATATTAGCTTGAACTTCTTATCTGGAACAAAAAATGATCGTAATAAACCAAAATTTAAAACTTTTTAAAGATAAAATCATTTTTTAAAATAAAGAAAATTTGATAGAGTTATGATAATAATTAATAAACGAAAAATAATTAACTATAAAATAAATATTAACATAAATAAAACACACCATGGTCCGCCAGAACATTTTCTTAATTTCATCAGCATAATCATATCTAAAAATATCAAAATTATTTCTTCTAAAAGCTAATCTTTGTGTGTTACATGTGTTTGTACAAACTACATGTGTTACAACAGATATTTTAAATCAAGAACAAATAAAAATTAGTTCTGAAAAAAAAAATTTAAAAAAAAAGAAGATAGATTTTTTGTATTATGGGAAACAATCAATCAAAGTGCAAACAATAAAAATATAACAATGATAGTGATAAATAAAAGACATTCGTGTAACAATGATAGTGAAAAATAAAAGACATACACGATAATCATTTATCAATTATTCACAAAAATCATTTCTTAAAAATTATTTATACACTTGCCCAAGCTAAATGACTTATTGCAGTCTGACATTTTACATTTTTTTATGTTTTTTTTTAGTTCTATTCAGTTTTTTTTTATAAATCTAGTATGCAGATGGAAAATCATTTTTATCTGTTGTTAATTTCACATATATATTTCTTAGTTTCAAACCAGTTTTTTGTGCTCTTAGTTAAAGATTATTATTTTATACAGCATTATCCTGGACACCAGATAATAGGAAAAAATTGTAATTTAAAGCCGATGTTCATTTTGGGACACTACACTTTCCTAAAGAATTATTTAAAGTAATTTCACAGTATAATTTTATGACCGATAAAGATTTTACTAACTAAAAACTAATTTTTACCTCAAAAAAAAAAAAAAAAAAAACAACCATGCAAACCATATATTGTAAACTGAAACGTCACAGTATAGTTTTATGGCAGATAAAGATTTTACTAACTAAAAACTAATTTTTACCTCAAAAAAAAAAAAAAAAACCATGCAAACCATATATTGTAAACTGAAACGTGAATCAAAAAATATTTTAAAATATCAAATATACCTATATCAGTGCTAACAACGAAAAGACAAAACTTAATGTGGATTTTTTTGTTGTTGCGCAACATACGGACAATACCTTTAGGCAACCTCTGAATTTTTTAATAGTTATTTTTATAATAACACAAAATCAAACAAAAAAACCTTATATTGAATTTTAAATTAATATACAAAAAAGAACATAAAACAAACTTTAGGGTGTCATTTAACTATTTTTTTAAATATATTTTATCTAATAACTAAAGTATCTTAAAATTAAATTGAAAATACGAAACAATTAACTAAACCTTAAGACGTCTTACATACTTTTTAAAGGTATTTTTGTAATGAAACTCAGTAAAAAAAATAGCCCAAAGGTGACTTTAATAATTTATAAAAATAAAGAAAAAACTAAATATATACATCTAGATTCTTTTTTTAATACTTTAATTTATGACTAAAAACTTGAAAGGTAAAATTTAAAACAATAAATAACAAGGAACAATAAATCAAGCTTAAGGGCAACATAAAGACTTTCTGAAGATATTTTAAAATATAATTGAGACAAACAAAAAAACCTTAGGGTGACTTTTAGAATAAAAATTAAAAAGCAACAATAAAACAAACCTTAAGGCAACCTCCATATTTATTATTAGATATTTTTAAAGTAAAACTCAGAAAACCAAAAAATACTTTAAGGTGACTTTTAAAAACAAGATGACAACTAGATTTTTATACAAAATAATTTTATAGTAAAATTAAGTAAAACAGAAAAACCTTGAGGTGACTTATAACAATATACAATAAAACACTTAAAACAATAATAAAACACATAAAACAATATACGAAAATGAAGAATAAACTAAATCTTAAGGTGTAATCTAGTTCTTTTAAAATACTTTATTTTATAACTAAAGAAACTCAAGGTAAAATTTAAAACAAAATATAACTAGAAACAATATAAAAATCTGTAAGGCGACATTTTTAAAGTATCTTGCAAAACATTTTTAAAGTATCTTTCAGACTTTTTGAAGATATTTAAAAAATATCTTCAAAAAGTCTGAAAGATACTTTAAAAATTCAGCCAAACAAAAACTTAATGTGACTTTAAAATGAAAAATAGAAACCAACAATAAAACAAATTTTAAGGCAACATATAGATTATTTTAATTGTATATTTTTATAGTAAAATTCAGTAAAACAAAAAAAATGAAAATTTTAAAACAATATATATATGAAAGGAAGAATAAAGTAAACCTTAGTGTCATCAAGATTTTTTTTAAATAATATATTTTAAAGATAAAGAAACTTTTATAGTTAAAAAAAGAATAAGGTAAAATTTAAATCAATATATAAAATGGTAGAATAAACCAAACCTTGAGGAGTCGTCTAGATTTTTTTAAAAAAATCTTGCTTTATTAATTAAAATATTTACATAAAATTTAAAACAATATATAACAAGGGATAATAAAGGAAAGCTTAAGAAAACATAAAGACTTGTAAAAGATATTTTTAAAATATAATAAATATATAACAACATCTATCCCTTTACAGATTTTTTTAAAACATAATTAAGCCAAACAAGAAAATCTTAAGGTGGATGGATGTTCAACAAAACTTTTGTAATGTATCAAATTTTTTTTATATGTATTATTAAAAAGAAATTTCTGTATTTTTAAAAAGTTTTGAATTTTTATATTTTTTATTAACTTTTATAAAACTTTTAAATATATTTTTTTACTTTTTTTTCTATAAATTTATCCAAGTCAAATTATTTATCTTAGCAACCCCCTTAACAACCATTATTTTTCAACATTATGGTTCAAAATTTAAAGTCTAAAAAAGTTTTGCATCAAATGAAAAACCTATTACTTAAGAAAACCTTATATAAAAAAAATTTGATATAGTTAAACATTAAATAAGTCAGAACTTACTTTAAAAAAGCCAATATGTAAAGTTTGCTAGCTGAATTTAACCATTTTTGATTTTTAACTTTAATAAATGATATCTTGAGCTATTTTTTTTTTTCATAACGTGTTAAAACATATCAGGATATTTTAAGGGTCAAACATTTTAAACTTCTTTGATTTCCAGGCCCTATTATTGATGAAAAACAGTTTTTTCTAAGTTACTATAGCAATTGTTATCATGAAAAAAAAAATCATTCTTTCAAACTAATCTTTTTTCAGTGGTAGTCATTTTAGTACAAAATTTGAAATTTAGGATTTTTTTTATTGAAATAGTCTTTCTCAAAGTCTTTTTATTGGTTTGGTTTTCATGGTAACAGTAGTAAAAACAGTTTATAATATTTTATAATTTTTATGCAATGCATATTAATTTTTTTTTATGCAAGTTACTTATCATAACTTATCTTTATCATTCCTGATACATGATTTTAATCCCATTTAAAAGATTTAATAGTGTAGCATTTAATTTTTGCAGAAATTCAGCTTTTTTTAAATTTTGGTTTTAGGCCAACAATAAAACAGAAAAGGCAAGCTTCAACAAAAATAAAAAAGTTAGTTTTTCTTGGTATTCATTTATTCTTTTGTTTTATTCAAAAAAATATAGCCCAAACATTTGTTTTATCATTCACTTAAATATGAACAAACATGTCTCTGAGATTTGGGATGTTGATTTTTTAAACAAAATAAAAAAATAATTAAAAAGAAAGGTGGCTTTTGAACAACGTATAATGAAGAAGAATAAACCAAACCTTAAAGCATCCACTAGACTTATTTTTTAATACTATATTTTATAACTAAAGAAACTATAGGTAAAATTTAAAATAATGTTTAACAAGAAACAATGCCCCAAACCTGTAAAACGACATAAAGACTCTAAAGATGTTATAAAAATATAAATCAGCCAAACAAAAAACCTGAGTGACTTTCGAAAAAAAAAAAAAGTAAAAAACAATAAAACAAACCTGAAGGCAACCTCAATTGGGTCAAATCAAACAAAAACCTCAAATATATAATAGTATTTATCATTAAAAATTATTAGATTTTTTAATAGTAAACTCAGTAAAACAAATAAAACCTTAAGGTGACTATTGAAACAATATTTAAAAAAGAACATTAAAACAACACTTAAGGTGAAAACTTTTATAAAGATACTTCTATAGTAAAATTCAGTAAAAACAAGAGGTGGCTTTTAAAAAAATATGAAGCTATGAAATTTAAAAAAAATATATATGGAAAAATGAAAAAAAATATGACCTTGAGGTGACTTTTAAAAAAATATGAAAAAAAGAATAAACCAAATTTTAAGAAGCCAAGTAGTTTTCTTTTAAATGTGTTATTTTGATACTAAAGAACTTGAGATAAATTTAAAACAGTATACAACAAGGAACAATAAAGCAAATCATAAGGCAATATAGACTTTTGAAAGATACTTTAAAAATATAATTCAGACAAACAAAAAAAATCTAACATGACTTTTACATAGATCATCCTAGTCATATTTTAAAAACCGGAAAATTGTTTGAATAAAATATCTGGAAAAAATCCGGAATGTATTTTCCATTATTTTCTTTTTAATTTCGCTTTTAGCTAAGTTGTTTTTATTTTTTTATTTTTAACACTTTTCATATTTTTTCTATGAGTGATCAAGGAAAAAGCCTAAAATCCAAATATATAACAAAAATATATACCTCAACTTGCACGTATTGAAAATGTTTTGAATATCCGGAAATATTAAAAGTTGAAAAAAATACCCGGATTTTCAGAAATATCCGGAAAAAGATAATCCCTGCTTTTAAAATGAAATATAGAAAGCAACAATAAAGCAAACCTTAAGGCAACTAATAGATTTTGTTTATTTACATATTTTTATAGTAAAACTCAATAAAGCAAAAAAAATTTTTAAACGATATTTAAAAAAGGAGGATAAACCAAACCTTAAAGCATCATCTAGATTACTTTTAAAATACTTTATTATATAAATAAAAAACTTTACGTAAAATTCAAAACAATATATAAAAAGGAACAATAAAGGAAACCTTAAGGCTACGTAAAAATTTTTTAAAGATATTTTCTAAAAAATCAGCCAAACAAAAATACCTTATGGTGACTATTTTTTAAATAAAATAAAAACAACAAAAAAATAAAAAAATAATGTTAACATTTAAATTTTTTTACAGATATTTTTAAAATTATAATTAAGCCAAACAAAAATATCTTAACAAAGTTTTTAAAACTAAATATAAAAGGGAACAATAAAACAAACTTTATAGCAACATCTATTTTTTTTACAAATTATAAATATTTAAATAGTGAAACTCATTTAAAAAAAAAAGAAACTTGAGGTGACTTTTAAAACAATATAGAAATAAACTAAACCTTAAAGTGCCATTCAGAATTTTTTTTTTTAATTTAGGTAAATTTTTTACAATTTATAACAAGAAATAATTAAGGAAACTTTAAGGTGACATATAGACTTTTAAAGATATTTTGAAATATAACTCAGCCAAACATAAAAATCTTAAGGTTACTTTTAAAGTTAAGTTAAAAAAAAAACTATTCACAATATATAACAAAGAACAAATAAGCAGAACTTAAGGCGACATATTGAATTTTTTGAGATATTTAAAAATATAATTCAGCAAAACATAAAAACCTTAAGGTGACTTTTAAAACTAACTAAAAAATATTTTTTTAAAATAAATAACAAGGAGCTATCTAACAAACTTGCAGAAATTTAGGTTAAGGTGAATGTTCCAAAACTTTGATTAACATTTACCGTAAAGGGACTTTTAGAACAAAATATAAAAAAGAAAAATAGAATAAACCTTAAGGCAACATCTAAATTCTTTCACAGATATTTTTATAGTAAAACTCACTATTGAAAAAAACTTGAGGTAAATTTCAAAACAATATATAAAAAGGTAGAATCAACTAAACCTTAAGGTGTCATCTAAATTTTTTTCAGATTATTATATGATATTATAAAGTAAACTTTTATAAACAGAAAAGAAAAATGCAAAGTTTAAAACAATACATAACAAGGAATAATAAAGTAAAACCTTAAGGCGACATATATATATATATATATATATATATATATATATATATATATATATAATATATATATATATATATATATATATATATATATATATATATATATATATATATATATATATATATATATATATATATATATATATACATATTTAAATACTTCATTTTAAACTAGAGAAACTTAAGAAAAAATCCAAAACAATATGATAAGGAACAATAAAGTAAAACATACAGCTACATAAAATATTTGAAGATATTTTTAAATATAATTCAGCCAAACAAAAAAACCTTAAGGTGACTTTTAAAATAAACTAAAAAAAAATTTTACAATTTATAACAAGAAATAATTAAGGAAACTTTAAGGTGACGTATAGACTTATAAAGATATTTTAGAATATAATTCAGACAAACTTAAAAACCTTAAGGCGACTTTTTAAACTTAGTTAAAAAAAAAAAACTATTCACAATATATAACAAGGAACAATTAAGCAAACCTTAAGCCGTCATATTGACTTTTTAAAGATATTTAAAAATATAACTTAGCCAAACATAAATACCTTAAGGTGACTTTTAAAACTAACTAAAAAATAACTTTTTAAAATTAATAACAAGGAGCTATCTAATAAACCTGCAAAAATTTAGCTCAAGGTGAATGTTAACAAAACTTTGATTAACATCCACTGTAAGGGGACTTTTAGAACAAAATATAAAAAAGAAAAATAAAATACAGCAACATAAAATATTTGAAGATATTTTTAAATATAATTCAGCCAAACAAAAAAACCTTAGGTTGACTTTTAAAATAAACAAAAAAAATTTTACAATTCATAACAAGAAATGATTAAGGAAACTTTAAGGTGACATATAGACTTTTAAAGATATTTTAGAATATAATTCAGACAAACATAAAAACTTTAAGGCTACTTTTTAAACTAAGTTAAAAAAAAAAACTATTCACAATATATAACAAGGAACAATTAAGCAAACCTTAAGGCATATTGACTTTTTTAAGATATTTTAAAATAGAATTCAGCCAAACATAAAAACCTTAAGGTGAGTTTTAAAACTAACTAAATAATTTTTTTAAATAAATAACAAGGAGCTATCTAACAAACCTTAAGATAACATATAGACTTTTTGAGAATATTTTTAAAATATAATTTAGCCAAACATAAAAATCTTAAGGTGACTTTATATATATATATATATATATATATATAAATATATATATATATATATTAAAATATATATATATATATTTATTTATATATATATATATATATATATATATATATATATATATATATATATATATATATATATATATATATATATATATATATATATATATATATATATATATATATATATATATATATATATATATATATATATATATATATATATATATATATATATATATATACAGTGGGCAAAATAATTGTCCGTACATTAATGAAAAGTATCTATGTTTGATCAAAACAACATTAAAAGTATTTAGATAGTTGTAATTAAGCGTTTTTAAAGAAATATTATGATATTAAAGTAATTTTAAGTGTATTCAAAAAAATATTAATATATAAAAAGTTAGATAAGTTTATTTGAAAAGAGTTAAAAGTGTAAACAAAAAAATTGTCCGTACACTATGTGAATTTTTAAATTAAAATTAGTTAAAATTAAATTAATATCTTGTTGGACCACCATCACCTTCAATAACTGCTCTACAACAAATTTTCATTGATGAGAGGAGTTTAGATGTAATTTCTTGATTAAATGATGACCATAGGGTTCAAATTGGGCGATTGTGCAGCCCAATCCAACACGTTAATGCCATTTGCAGCAAAATATCTGGTTACAGATCCAGCTTTGTGCTTTGGATTGTTGTCATGTTGTAATATAAATTCCGTTCCAGGTCCTAATTTTCCTGCCGAAGCCACCAAATTCCGTTCTAATATGGACCTATATAAGTGTTGATCCATTTTCTCATCAGTAAATTCAATTTTGCCAACACCGGACGCACTCATGCAGCCCCAAACCATAACATTTACACCACCAAATTTAAATGTTGCCTTCAAACGCTTCACATTTATACTTCTCCGACTCTTCTATAAACCTTTGCACCACCATCAGCCCCATATAAATTAAATTTACTTTCGTCTGACCAAATAATCATATTCCAGAATGTATCATCCTTCAGAACATGTTCCTTTGCCCACTGCAACCGTTTTTTCTTGTTCACTATGCTGATGAATGGTTTTCTCCAAGGCATCCGTGCAAAAATATTGGCTTCATGCAGTCTGTTTCTAATTGTTTGTGGTGATAATTTGATATTTAATTCATTTTCTAGCATTTTTTCTTCTATTCTGCTCAATTTTCCTAACTATGCACCTGTCAACTCTTGGCGTTGTTGATCTTTTTCTGCTTCGTACACCATTATTTGCCACTGATTTTGTTTTTAAATACTTTTCCCCTATATATTGAACAGAGCTTGGTGGTATTTTCAACATTTTTGCAACTTTTCTAATTGATAATCCATTTTCCCTATTAAAAATTACTCGTTTACGTAAGTCAATACTATGTTCTTTTCTTTTTCCTTCCATCATAGCCACGTAGTTAAAAAAAGGTTTATTTTTATTTATTATAGTATTATTTAACCTAAAAATACAAGATATTAATATAAAAATCATTTATAAACAAAATTTTACCTTTTATATCAAATGTACAAACAATTTTTTGGTTTTAAAATTTTTAAAACTTTTAAATAAGTTAATTATAATTTAAATTGTCAGGAGAAAATTAAGATGGTGTATCATTTTTATTTGTTTTCTTGTGCGTTATCTATTGGTTTAATTTATTTTTTTCTATCATTTAAAGTTTTAGAGCTTTTTTTAAAAAACCTTATTTTTCATTAGTGTATGGACAATTATTTTGCCCACTATATATATATATATATATATATATATATATATATATATATATATATATATATATATATATATATATATATATATATATATATATATATATATATATATATATATATGTATATATATATATATATATATATATATATATATATATATATATATATATATATATATATATTTAAATACTTTATTTTAAACTAAAGAAACTTTCGAAAAAATCTAAAACATTATATAACAAGAAACCAAACATAGAAACCTTAAGGTGACTTTTCAGACAATATATAAAGCTGAACATTAAAACAACACTTAAGGTGACAACTAGATTTTTATATAGCTAGTTTTATAGTAAAATTCAGTAAAAACAAGAGAACCTTGAAGTGACTTTTAAAACAACATGAAAAAAGGAAGAATAAACTAATTCTTAAGGTGCATCTAGTGTTTTATGCGATATGTTAACTTATTACTAAAGAAACTTAAGATAAATTTAAAATGGTATATAACAAGAAACAATAAAGGAAACCTTAAGGCGACATAAAGATTTTTTGAAGATATTTTAAAAATTAATTCAAACAAACTTAACATGATTTTTAAAACGAAAACTAGAAAGCAACAATAAAACAAATCTTAAGGCAACTTATAGATTATTTTAATTACATATTTTTATAGTAAACTGTAGTAGATTATTCCCACTGCCTGAATTATTCCATCCCCCTATGAAAAACTCAAAACGAGATTGCGCTTTGGGGTTATAACTACGAGATTGCGCTTTGGGGTTATTACAGTATAATGATTAAAATTCTACAACTATAAAATAATTAATAATTAGTAATTATTAATTATTTTATAGTTGTAGAATTTTAATCATTATACTGTAAAATTCTACAACTATAAAATAATTAATAATTAATACTGTAAAATTCTACAAATATAAAATAATTAA